CTGGACCTCCGCAATGGTTACAATCAGATAAGGATAAAAGAAGGGGAGGAATGGAAAACCGCTTTCCGGACGCGGTATGGACTGTTCGAATACTTGGTGATGCCCTTTGGACTCACCAATGCACCCGCTACCTTCCAAGCCTTTATGAACGACACCCTCCGGACCCACCTCGACGATTTCTGTACGGTGTACCTCGACGACATCCTGATCTACTCAAACACGGAGAAGGAACACCAGCGACACGTCAGCACCATCCTGGATAAACTACAAGCGGCGGGGCTCCACTGCAAGCCTGAGAAGTGCGAGTTCCACGTCGATCGTACGGAGTACTTAGGGTACATCATATCAGGCGAAGGGGTTACCATGGCTACCGACAAAACCAAGGCGATACAGGAGTGGAAAACACCTACCTCAGCACACGACATACAGGTCTTTCTGGGATTTGCGAATTTCTATCGAAGGTTTATCCGCGATTACTCCAAAGTAGTATCCCCGATGACGAACCTGCTAAAGAAGGATGCCCCGTTTGTATGGACCCCCGCTGCGGACCATGCCTTCACCCAACTAAAAGAAGCTTTCACTACGGCACCAATACTGAAGCATTTTGACCCCGAACGGGCCTGTATATTGGAAACCGATGCCTCTGACTTTGTCGCGGCCGCCGTGCTCTCCCAGAAAGATGACCAAGGAATCCTACACCCCGTGGCCTTCTACTCCCATAAGATGTCGCCAGCAGAATGCAACTATGACATCTACGACAAGGAGCTGCTGGCGATTGTCCGGGCTTTTGAGGAATGGCGAAAGTATCTGGAACCGAGCAACCAGGAGATCACGGTATATTGTGACCACAAAAACCTGGAGCACTTTATGTCTACGAAGATTCTTAACCGTCGCCAAGCTCGCTGGTCCCTAACGCTGTCTTCCTTTAACTTTGTGGTTACCTATCGACCGGGTGCAAAGAATGGAAAACCTGATGCCCTCACACGTCGATCTGGAGATCTCCCTAAGGAAGGGGATGAAAGACTGACCCAACAGCATCAGGTTGTACTCAAGCCAAGGAACCTCCGTCTAGCCGCCGTATTAGAGGTCCCCAGACCCGCCAAGGTATCACCCGCCCGCCACGATGAACTACAGGCTGCTTTAGCCAATGACCCGCTGTCCAAACAATTGATGAAGGACATCATCGCCAGGAAGAAACACTCTCGCTTCCTCCCCATCGGGGAATGCGCAATCAAGGATGGGTTACTGTACTATCAGGGCCTACTATACATCCCCGATAATGATGCTATTAAACTGGAGATCCTCCGCACCAACCACGATGCACCTTCGGCAGGACACCCTGGACGCGCCCGCACGCTGGAACTCCTGTCACGAAACTACTACTGGCCCCAAATGCGAAAGTACGTTGCCCGTTACGTGGACCACTGCGATACTTGTACCCGGATTAAGCCGGCCCGACACGCCCCTTATGGCCTCCTCAAATCTCTCGTTCCTCCAGTCAAACCCTGGTCATCGTTGTCAATGGACCATGTCACCGGCCTACCAGAGTCCCAAGGATCCAACGCCATCCTCGTAGTTGTCGACCGACTCACCAAAATGGCCCACTACATCCCCACTAGAGATACGGCGGACGCCCCCGAACTGGCCCACTTATTCTTACAACACGTCTGGAAATCTCACGGGCTGCCAAAGGACATAGTATCGGATAGGGGCACGACCTTTACCTCGCAGTTCTGGAAAGCCCTGTGCAACCAACTGGATATCAAACCTCGATTCAGCACCGCCTTCCACCCACAAACCGATGGACAGACCGAAAGAGTAAACGCCATCATGGAACAGTATTTACGGGGATACGTCAACTACCAACAGGACAACTGGGCAGAATTTCTCCCGTTGGCAGAGTTCGCGCACAATAATGCCACCACGGAACCCCTAGGGGTTAGTCCCTTCTTCGCCAACTACGGGTATAATCCACAATTAGATATCCTACCCGCCGAAGACAGACACGAAGCCACGCCGAAGGAAGTAGTAGAATTTGCCAACTCGATCACCACCCTACAGACCGCACTGCGATCCGAGATCCTGTACGCCCAAGCCGCTGCTGCCGATAGCGCCAACACCACCCGACTCCCAGAACCACGACTAGAAGTAGGGGATTTGGTATGGTTGTCGCGAAAACATATAAGAACTACTCGACCCTCGGACAAATTGGACCATAAACGCTTAGGGAAGTTTAAAACACTCGAGCGCATCGGATCTCACGCCTACCGACTGGAACTACCTCCATCGATGAAGTCCCATCCGGTGTTCCACGTCTCTCTACTAGAACCCGCCCTAACGCAGCCGCTTCCTGGCCACATACAACCACCCCCGCCGCCGGTAGTCGTCGAAGGGGAAGAGGAGTTCGAAGGTCAGGAGGTGCTAGACTCGCGGATACGTCATGGCAACTACAATACCTGGTCAAATGGACAGGCTACGAACAACCCACTTGGGAACCCGCCCGGAACCTCGATGCGGAGTTAGGATCGCTGCAACGCTTTCACTCCCTATACCCTACTAAACCCGCCTTAGTCCCTAAGAGGACTCAACGCGGGAAATTATAGTCTTACGTCCCTCGGTGCTGGCCTTTTCTAGTTGTTTAGTTAAAATTTTGGTTTTTTTCTGTTCTTTTCTTTTTCCTTCTTTTTCTCTTTTGTCTTTTCCTTCTTTTCTTCTGATTTTGCTTTTGTCTGTCTGCTCGCAGGAGCTCGCCCTTTGGGGGGGGGAGCTAAACTGTTATGAACTATATTGCTGTATTAAACGTAGGAGATAGTAGGAAGTCTGGAAGGTTCCGTGGGATTATTAATCGGTTGTTATTTCTTTACTATAAAGGGTTGCTTGTGTCTTCTGTGGTCTTTCTTTCTTTTCCTTACGCAACATCTTGTATTCTACTGTGGGTTATCACTTTGGGGGATTCACTTCGCTTCAATACATTACTTTACTCTCAGTTCACGTTACGTCTGCTGTTCCTCATGCTCTGTGCATCCGCTGTTATGATCTTCGCCGCCTCCCTATTCCTCGCCGCGTACTACTCGGCCCTCGTCGCTGTCCTCCCCTCTGTCCTTGCACAGACCACCGTCCCTGCCTTCGGGTACACCTCTGCACCGTCCCTCGCCCTCGCGCGAGGCCTATCTTTCCCCTCAGGGAACCTAATCATGTCCCTCGACCCCTCAGCTTATACCTCGCCCATGGTTCTTTACAGCCATGACATGCCTGGGTATGCCTCCTGCGTCTGGAGAACGATCAGCTAATGAGTTTCCGCCCAGGGACTGGCAACGAATCACGGACGTGTCGGGGCCCGCCAGGAGACAGCGTCAGCACGCTGACAGCACTCGTCAGTAATATCTGTGCCAGGAGATCAAATCACAACGAGCTGCTCGCCAGGCGCTGCCAGAGCATATTGCTCACGCCTAGAGAGCACTCGTCAGTACTATCTGCGCCAGGAGAGCATTCTCAACGAGCTGCTCGCCAGGCACCGCCAGAGCATATCCCCCACGCCAAGACACTCTTCGTCAACGAGTTTTTCCAGGCACTGCCAAGAGATATTGCTCACGTCCGGAGAGCACCACGAATGCTTCCATAGCACTGACCAATGCTCGTAGAGCTGCGGAAACATCTTTAATAATACTATTCAAGGTGGGACACCCCCCACTTAGACCCATATGAATCGATACGCTTTCTTCAAAGGCAAGGTAGGCATCGCCGGTGTCTCAAACGATATCTCACGTGGGTATTCTTCACGCCGCTGAACGGTCAGTCGCGGAATACTGATACGAGCACTGTCGTGTATACTGGAGATGGCTACCAAACCTTTGACGAACGTGTATGTATCTGTCGATTCATGAAAGGCATAAGCCTTGAGGTTGAGGCCATGGTACGGCTCGTCTGAAAAGCTCAATGTCCATGCATAAGCAGCAAACATGGACTGGAAAAAGGTGCAGGATAACTTTACTGGTCGGAAGACCAATGCCTGCCTACTGCACCCTCCTGGAGCTGGCTTGCTGGATAGTCAGACTCAGATACTGAGCGGCCGATACTCACCTCCCTCTTCCAATCCGCATGCGTACTAGCAGAACGACACGAATTTTGAATTAGACGGTCCTATTGGGTCTAACATTCCACTCGTAGAGCACTCGCCACTGCCCTCAGAGCATTCACTGAATAGCACCCTGTATTCCTCTCATATCACTGGATAGCACTCGGTATTCCTCTCATATCACTGGATAGCACTCGGTAATCCTCTCACATCACTAGATAGCACTCGGTAATCCTCTCATATCACTGCATAGCACTCGGTAATCCTCTCACATCACTGTATAGCACCCGGTAATGCTCTCACTGGATAGCACCCGGTAAGCCTCTCACATCACTGGATAGCACTCGGTGATCCTCTCACATCACTGCATAACACTCGGTAATCCTCTCATATCACTGCATAGCACTCGGTAATCCTCTCACATCACTGGATAGCACTCGGTAATGCTCTCACTGGATAGCACCCGGTAAGCCACTCACATCACTGGATAGCACTCGGTGATCCTCTCACATCACTGCATAGCACTCAGTAATCCTCACATATCATTGCATAGCACTCGGTAATCCTCTCTCAAGGGGGTGAGTAGCGAGTATTCCGCAGGGTACGAAGAGGATAAATAGGAGACGGTATGGGAACTCGCAATAGGGGTACTACGGGACTCTAGCGTTGGTAAGGTTCGACGGGGCACGAAGAAGGCGAGGCGGTGGTCTTCTTTTTAAAGAAAGAAGAGGACGGTAATATTGTATAGCAATAAACAGCGTAGATACAGAAGACGTTGCGTAAAGAAAGAAGAAGAAGAAGAACACAAAATACAAACAAAAACCCCCCTTAATATACTCAAGGAAATCCCAACGATGACAAATCCAACATGACTCATACACTAACGATCAACAGAACCCGGTAGAACCGAATAGAACCTTTCTGACTAATCCGACTCTTCATAACCCCGTACCTCCACTAGTCGATCCATGAAAGTAGCCCCCCCCTTCAAGCGCGAGCTCCTGCGAGCCTTAACCTTAATCTTTGCTTCCAATGGCCCAGGTTTGTCGGGGTAGCGTATGTGGAAGATATCAACGGCGGCGGTATTATCGTGGTATGCGGCGGGTTCCCAGGTAGGGTCGGTATAGCCCGTCCACTTAACAAAGTATTGCAGGCCAGTGTTCCGTAATTCTCGCGAGTCCAAGATTTCCTCAACTGCGTACTCCTCCTCTTGTTCGACGATAATGGGCGGGGGTGGTGGTTGAATTTGCCCTGGGACAGGATCATTCGCAGCGGGGTCCAACAATGATACATGGAAGACGGGGTGCACCTTCATACTTCTAGGCAGGTCAACTCGATACGCATATGGCGATATGATTTCCTTAACGGGGAACGGTCCCAGTTTCTTCCAGTCCAGCTTCCGGGAGTTACGCGTGGTTCGGATGTTTTTTGCTGAAACAAACACCATATCACCGACATCGTACCGTGGGGCCGGGGTTCGTTTAGTATTGACGGCCTGCTCTTGCTGATCCTGCGCTGTGCGGATATTGGAACGTAGGTGCTCGTGGAGTTCTCTCATCTTCGAGGCGAAGTCTTTAGCGTTAAGACTCGGTGGGGTCCTGTCAAGCGATTTGATCGTCACTGTAAACCGGGGGTGGAACCCATAGTTCGCGAAGAATGGTGTAGCTTTAGTGGATGCGGAGACCTGATTGTTGGCGGAAAATTCTGCCATAGGAAGCCATTTTACCCAATCGTCCTGTTGATAAGAGACATACCCTCGTAGGTATTGCTCCATCACAGCATTCAGCCTTTCGGTTTGGCCGTCGGTCTCCGGGTGGAAGGCGGTGGACATCCTTGCCTCGATGTTGAGGTGTTTACAAAGAGCCTTCCAAAACTTAGCTGTAAATTGCGTACCGCGGTCGGAGGTGACGTGTGTGGGTAGCCCGTGGAGCTTCCATATGTTTCGCAGGTATAGTTGGGCGACGTCTTCGGAATTGACAGTAGTATTGCAGGGCAGGAGGTGTCGCATCTTTGTTAGCCGGTCAACCACTACCATAATTGCATCGTACCCTTCACTTTCCGGTAGGCCAGTAACGAAGTCCATCGATACCTCCCGCCATGGTTGTTCGGGAATCGGTAAAGGTCGAAGTACGCCGAGTTTTCCGTGGGTGTTGGGTTTGCTTTGTTGACAGGTGTGGCAGTTCCGAACGTAGCGGGCAATATAATTTCGCATGAGGGGCCAGTAGTAGTCCCGACTGACGAGTTCGAATTTTTTTTCGCGTCCCGGGTGTCCAGCAGAGGCAGCGTCATGGTAAAGTTGGAGGATTCGAAGCTTAAGAGGGTCGTAATCAGGGACATATATACTGCCTCGGTAAAGCAATCGGCCTTCAACCTCGGTGCATTCGGCGAGTGATATGTCCTTTGATTGTCGATCGCCTTTATTCCGCATATCCAGTATCTTTTGGTGAAACGGGTCAGCGCTATATCCTTCATCGAATAATTCCTGCAGTGAGGTTGGGGCTGGCTGAATTCTCGTCCTTTTCTTTGACTGATCAGAACTGGCAAGATTGATTTAATGAATTAGCCATTGAGCGTCAAAGAGAAAAAAAGAAAATAAAAGAAAAGAAAATGCAAAATACTAGCAGGATGAGGGGATTAATTACTTTGCATCATCTTCGATTTTGACGGCCCTTGAACGAGCTCTTTTATCCCGCTTCTCCAGTTGTTTCTGGGCTTCATCTCGGTTTGATTGGGCCGTAATCCCAACGCCAAACATATCCTCAAGCTCTTGATCAATGTCATTATCATCGCTCTCGTTTTTAATGTTTCCATCGTTTTTGTCACCGTTCTTCTCACTTTTGATTAAAGCATCGTAACCTCTCTTCAGCGGGCTCGTTTGAGAAAGAACCCGCCAACAAACTTAGCTTTGCATCAAGATTCTCCTTCTTCAACACGACTTGACTCTGATGCAATTGTCTTTCATCCCCCTCTCCAGGGAGATCTCCTGATCTTCTTGTCAACGCGTCCGGCTTCCCTCCTTGTTTCCCTGGTCGGTATTTGATAACAAAATTAAACCGTGACAGGTATTCTGCCCACCGTGCTTGTCTCCGGTTGAGTTGTTTGGTACTCATAAAGTATTCGAGATTCTTATGATCGGATATGATGGCGATTGGGTGTACAGCCCCTTCAAGTTCCGGTCGCCACTCCTCAAAAGACCGGATGATTGCCAATAATTCCTTGTCGTAAATCTCGTAGTTGCATTCGGCGGGGGAGTGTTTTTTCGAGAAGTATGCAACAGGTCGGAGGATACCATTGTCATCGTATTGGGAGAGTATACCAGCGGAGACATAGTCAGATGCATCGGTTTCCACGGTAATTTCCTTCTCCGGGTCGAAATGAGTAAGAATGGGCGCCGTGGTAAAGGCTTCTTTCAGGGCGTTGAAGGCGGTTTGGGCTTCGGATGTCCATCCAAATGATATGTCCTTAAGTGTCAGTCTGGTAAGAGGAGAAGCCAGCTCCGAGAATCCGCGTATGAATCGGCGGTAAAAGTTAGCAAAACCTAGGAATGCTTGTACATCCTTAACTGTTTTGGGGACGGTCCAATTCTTCACCGTCTCCACTTTCCTTGGGTCCATTTTTATACCATTGGGTTCGATAATCAGGCCGAGATATGTGGTACTTTGTGTATGAAATTCGCATTTCTCCGGTTTCAGCAGTACTCCATTTCTTTGTAGGGCTTCCAGAATCTTCTCGACGTGTACTTGATGTTCCTCGAAGGTATCGCTGTAAATAAGGATTTCGTCAAGGTAGGCTGTGCAGAACATATCAAGGTAATCACGGACGCAATCATTAATGAAATGTTGAAAGGTGGCTGGTGCATTGGTAAGGCCGAAGGGCATTACGGTGTATTCGAAATGTCCGTAACGCGTTCGGAAGGCTGTTTTCCATTCTTCACCCTTAGCCATTCGGATCTGATTGTACCCTTGGCGAAGGTCAAGTTTGGTGTACCACTTGGCCTTGGAAAGGCGGTCGAGAGTTTCCCGGATGAGTGGCAGCGGGTAGCGATTTTTGACAGTAAGTTCGTTAAGGCCACGATAGTCGACACAGAGGCGGAGTGTTCCATCGGCTTTTTTAACAAATAGGACAGGGGCACCGGCAGGCGAAGAGCTGGCCTGAATAAACCCCTTTTGAAGGTTGTCCTGTATGTATTGTTTCAGCACAATGAGTTCCTCGCGGGACATACCATAAAGTGGCCCAAAAGGGGGCTCTTTCCCTTCTTTGAGCGGTATCTTATGATCATAGGGGCGGCGAGGTGGCATCTCGTTAGCGAATTCTTCGTCCATCATTTTATGAAATCTCTTGTACCGGGTTGGGACCCGGTTCCTCCAGTCTTGCTTAGGGGCCTCGCCCGTTGCTTGATCTATTTCCTCAATAGTTGTACTAAAGATTTGGAGTTTGTCTCTTTGAGCAAAGCGACAAAGAGCAGCTGAACTGACAAGGTGAAAACGGGGCGGTGGTGCAACCCCTCTAATGGGAACGGGTATCGGGGAAGAGTTGTACTTGCTTTTACAGTATTCGGAGTCGAACAGTATGCTATTGTCCTTAAACCGTAATGTTGCATCGTGCAATTGAAGCCAGGGGATTCCGAGGACGAGTGGGTACGAGCCGAGTTTGGTAACGAAGAAGGGGGTAGTTTCGTGGTGGGAGTCAATGGATAGCGGCAGATAGCAGAGGTGGGTAATTTGTCCAGAAGATATGGGCCGACCGTCGATGACTTCAAGAGTGCGGGGTGATTTGAGGGGGAGAAATGGGAAGTTGTTATGGCGCGCGAAAGTTTCATCAATGAATGCGAATCCGGAGCAACCGGTATCGATCAGTGCGTGAGTTTGAATGGATGTTTTATTGTTTATAATTTTACAAGAAGCAACAAAATGATCCCCATCCAATTTATCCTCCACAGACGATACCGAGAAGCCAGAGATAGAAAACGCAGACAAAGGAGAAACATTGGAAGGTCCCAGGCAGGGGCCATTAATCAAGCCCGGGACTACTGAAAACCCGACTCAGAGGAGGCGGGACTAGCGACCAGTGGAACAGCGGGGTCGACGGCCGTATGACTGGGTGCGAGGAGGGCGCCCCTCATAACCGGTTGATTACCGCGCGGGCGATTGGCAGAGGGGCAGTTGGCAAAGACGTGACCGGGGTTGGCACAGTACATACAGAGATTGTTGTCCCTTCGCCATTGCTTTTCAGCGGCAGAGGTTTTGCGTTGTCCATTGACAAAAGTGTATCGTTGTTCAATGGCAGGACATTGAGTGGGGCGGCTTTGGAGAGCGGAGAGGTCCATTGGGGCGAGGCCTCCGGCGGTATGAGATGGGTGTGCGACAGCAGCGGGGGCGGTGAATTGTCCCATTGTATTCCGAATGGCCCTTTGTTCAGCTTTGCGGCCCCGAACCTGGTTATCGATTGTCATCAACATGGTGGCATAGGCTTCGACAGTGTTAGGCCTGTCTGTCCGGTATGTCATAGCGTCCTTCAGATCTTCTGACAGTCCTTCGGCTAGGGCATCGATCTTTGCTCCCTCGTTGTAGTTCAGGTATGCCACGATGCGGAGGAACTGTGAATAATAGGTAGCGAAGTCCCCTTTGCCTTGCTTCAGGGCAACGGGTTGGCGACGGGTGGTACCCCGGGGGTCTGGGTCTCCAAACGAGGCTTCCAGGTGGGCAACAAAGGCAGTGACGGAGGAGAAGGGGGCGGCAGGGTTAGCGTTGACAAGTGGAACGACCTGGTCGAGGGCCCTTCCTTCCAAGCGACTGACGGCATAGATAACCTTTGCTGCCTCGTTTCGGAACCGATCGTGGTTGACTTCAAGTTTCATTCGAAGTTGGGTGGTGAATCCGGGGAGCTTGGTGCGGGTGCCATCGAATTTCTCAGGGTCTGGAAACTTTTCGGACCTGAAGGCGGGGGCAGGAGCAGGTGGGGGAGCAGGGGCAACGGGGACAGCGACGGTAGGGGCGGGGGCAGCGCGGGCGACATTGAGGTCGAGGTTGAGCCGGTTTATCTGCTCCTCGAGGTTGTCAATGGTTTCATTAGCGGCGGTGAGTTGTGCATGGAGGGTATCCCTTTGGAGGCGGACGCGCTGGACGAGGGTGGCGATGTTATCGAATAGTTCAGCAGAGTCGGCCTCATACATCTGTCTGAATGCTTCTACATCGTTGGGTGCGGCCCATACAGGTGGCTCGGGGGTGGACATGTCGTACGGTGCGGATGACGACGCAACGTAATCTCAAGGGGGTGAGTAGCGAGTATTCCGCAGGGTACGAAGAGTGTAAAATAGGAGACGGTATGGGAACTCGCAATAGGGGTACTACGGGATTCTAGCGTTGGTAAGGTTCGACGGGGCACGAAGGAAGCGAGGCGGTGGTCTTCTTTAAAGAAAGGAGAGGACGGTGATAATGTATAGCAATAAACAGCGTAGATACAGAAGACGTTGCGTAAAGAAAGAAGAAGAAGAAAAGGAACGAAAAATACAAACAAACCCCCCTTAATATACTCAAGGAAATCCCAGCGATGACAAATCCAACATGACTCATTCACTAACGATCAACAGAACCCGATAGAACCGAATAGAACCTTTCTGACTAATCCGACTCTTCATAACCTCGTACCTCCACTAGTCGATCCATGAAATCCTCTCACATCACTGGATAGCACTCGGTAATGCTCTCACTGGATAGAATCCGGTAAGCCTCTCACATCACTGGATAGCACTCGGTGATCCTCTCACATCACTGCATAGCATTCGGGAATGCTTTACAGCATTCAACTGAATTCATTCCACGTACGCAAATCTATCCTAGTATTTACCAGCCAATTGCCAGCATCCACCTCGAACAAATGGGCCATTCCTAATATACTCCGAATATTCACGACCCACATCCTCTTCCTCCTCCTCCTACAGACCTTCAGCAGCCCATGTGAGCTATCAGCGATGCCACGATCCTTCGCCTCAAGCAGCTCAACTACACATAGTCTATGTGCGCGCCCTGTGCTATCCCGCACCTTGAACAGAGCCTCCAGACGTCCTGGTAAGCGTCCCCGAAACACTCCCCACTGCTCTGAGGAACCTACCGATACCCATGCCCAATCCTTTCTTATTTTCCCCTTCCTAAAAGATGCTGTTCCCGTACACCTGATGTTGTGAACCTCGTATACGTCAGGCCTTTGGAAGATTGGTATCGGAACCTGCAAGCATGTGAAAACCTCCACCCGGCGCTCCAACATGCTCTCAGAGCTTCCGGCAAAGCTCTGAGAGCATCCCGCATCCTCGGCATACTCCTTTGTCAGGCGATATAGCGTGATATGGCTCATTTGCAGTCCGTCTGCCACGTTGAAAAGTCTTTCCGATTTCGCGGAGGGGTTGCAAAGACGCTTCAGGGGCAGTCCGCTTTCTACTATTGAGCTTTCATTTGGCGTTTTCTTGCGGTCCTCGATCTTGAAAATGTCGAGCAACTCCTTGAGGTTATCCCGATGGCTCCAGAGGATGTCGTCAGTGCTCTCAGAACCTCCGACGATGTCTTTCAGATTCAGAATTCGAATCTCTAACGCCAATCGCCTCCCTCCATAGTCCAGTATCTGCGTCGCAGCATCAACCTTGTTGGACGCTCTGTAAGCTTCTTTTACCTGCCGTACATGGGCAAGCTCGCTGACATCCGTGGAGTATTGAGGAATGCTACCAAAGCACTCAACGTGCTCCCGGTAGTGCCTTAAGACGTGCAATTTGATGAAGTTGAAGTGCGATCTTTCCCGAATCTCCCGGATCTCCTCCAAGCCTCGCTGGGTGCTCTGGGAGCCACTAATTGCTTTCGTTCGATCTCTCGCATCCTTTAACGTCTTCTTGTACGCCCTGAATTCTAAAAAGATATCCTTGTGTTTATGGAAATCCTCGAGATAGCTCTCCATATAGTCCAGTGTGCTCGTTGTATGACTCCCATATTGCGCCATTAAGTGGAAGTCTATTAGGCTTCGAACGCATTTCAAAGCTTTTGCGAAGTCGCTCCTGACAGCCACTCCCGGGTTTCTCAGAGCAGCCGCGAGTGCTCCTAGAATGACCCGCCCCAGATTCCGCATCTCTTTCCCTTGCCATTGGGTGGTAGAACGATATGCCTTGTTTGGTACTGCTAGTCTAGGGTAAGGCGCAATCGAAGCCCAAGCTTTGTCGAATTCCTCCAATCGATGATGCTTCTTCAAGAAACCCTGAATCCACTCCATCATGTGCTTCAACATCCCCTGGTAAATATTGTGCAGTATGTCCGGTTTATTGAGATCGTACGGATTAACCCTCGGCATACCCCAGAAAGCATTGAAGAGTGTTTTGACGGATCTCCCAACAAGGTATTCTACCGGTTCTAGATTGCCCGGGTTATCGCCAAATAGCTGTACCCTCTCCCTGTAGTCCTCGTGATTGTGCATAGAGCTTCGACGAGTGCTCCCAAGATTGTGAAACTCCACCTCGCATCTCGGGCAAGCACTAGTGCTAATGTTTTGCAAGTTTGAATGCTCGGGTTGATCGGCGATCCAGCCCGAGAGCACCGGAAAGCATAGTCGTTCGTAGCCGTCGGCGCATTTGATTAGCTCGCCCTCCTGAGAGCACTCGCGAATGCTTTGAAAGATCTCCCCAAGGGCACGATGCAGTGCCATTTGACTCTGACGTCTTAAAACGGAGTTAACGAGTGTTGTATTCTTTCCGAGCTTCGGTGGTACTGGTAGCAGCCCTAGGAGAATGAATGAATGCCCTGTGGGCTTGTTGCGCACCGACGACTTGATGTTCCCGATGGTAAGATAGATTGGCCAGGCTTTCTTGTCCCCGCTGAAATTTGTCAGATGTGTGCTATCCGACGCGCAGATAATTGGTACGACAGTGGACCCCTCCGGTAACGTATTCTGTCGAGAAGACATTAGCGACTGCTCCTGTAGCATCATCGACTGCTCATAGAGCACCTCAAGTTGACAGGGTGAAGTTTACGGACCTGTATCTCCCACCACCAATCTCCTGTATGCATTTCCCCGTACATTCGCTCGCCGAATTCATTATGCTCCATCACGGGCGAATACACCAATGACTCCCGGAAGGCACGTTGCCCTAGAAGATATCGGACGACTACCATTGGATCCCGGTAGTAGTAAGAGATCTTCTCCCCCCCAATATCCACCTCCGAATGATTCCAGCTCACCTTTCCCAGTACATCGTTCATTTCCTCCAACCTCTTGATAAAACGCCGCCCAGTGCTGTAGGAGCACTCGCCACTACTCGGTGGAGCGTGTAGAAAGAAGCTGTCGATGTTCCCCTGTGAGGCTTTGGACAGTGTGAAATAGCGTGCCATTCTGAACTCGTATGCTGACCGGAATGGGTGCCATGGGTATTGGAGAAGGCTCTGTGAGCACTCGTCGTAGTCCTCCGAGCGGTAAAGTGGCTCCCCAGCACCCTCGTAAACTGTCGTAGATGCCCTACTATGCCCATTTGAATCGCCATCTGCCTCTTCCATCACGAAATATGATTCGGATTCGAGGTCCGAATTGTTACCCGAATCTTGGTCGAAAATGTCCGACTCTGAATCGTAATGCGTGTCTGAATAGTAATCGGGAATGCTCTCTGGGCTCTCATCAGTATTGTCGGGGGTCTCTGCAGGTTGACCGTGCTCCAGCAGTGAATATTGATTTCCTAGCCATTCATCTGCTTCCAAAGGATGGATTGTTCGAAGATGTCTGTCAAAATTCGCGGAGGAGCTGTACCTCTTGCTGCAAAAAGGGCAAGATGATTTCATTGGACTCGAGAATTTGCAGTCTGCCAAGGCGGAGGCTCTTTCCTGCAGGTGGTGCAGAGTGCTCTACGAACGATTTGTCGTCCAATGAGGCTCTCGCCGCCAAGCGGTTGTGCAGAGTGCTCTACAGAGTGCTCGCTGCAGAGCGCTCGCCAAGTGATTGTGAGCCTTGCACTCGCACCTCCACCATAGCGAGGCTGATTTTGACTTCATACATCTCCAACGGAATAATGCAAACACAAACACAAGCATACAACGAGAAGAAACAACAATTACCACAATCATGCCGCCAACGATGCTCCGTTCTACCCTCTCAGCATTCGCTCTCTCTCTCTGAGCACTCGCGGATGCTATTCAGATCATGGAGAGACCATTCTAACCGCCAAATTCGATACTAATATCGGATATGCGCTCAGAGGATACACACTCTCCGACTCAGCTTCATAGCGCACAGAGCCCCGACACCAACAAGAACACAAACACCAACCCAACATAGGAATCCAATCGACACCACTGTTGGTACTACCGTCAGAGCATTCCCGAGTACGCCTAGAGCATTCATCTACGTCATTCAATTGAATCAAACCTCCAGAGTAGAATCTTCGAGTGCGACTAGAGCATTGATCTACGTCATGTATTGGAGCAAACATTCAGCACGGCTTGGAGCACCATATGCAGCACTGGTGGGAGCGCCCGGGGGTGCTCGTACAGCACCCGAGGATGCTCGTACAGCACTCGAGGATGCTCGTATAGCATACGGGGGTGCTCGTATAGCACACGGGGGTCCTCTCGGAAGCATGATGAGCCCTGGAATAGCTGATTGTATTCGGTATAAGAGCACCCTTCTCCTCCTTCCAGATCGTGAGAGCTTCCTAACCATCTTCCAGCACTACCTATCACTTCAAGCCCCTCCCTGCTATCTAAGCTTTCAAGATACCTCTTGAAAGCGCATTCAGCTCACGTTTCAAGTTTAGGCTTCAACTTGAAGTTTCAAGTTTCGTTTCAAGTTCAAGCTTTCAAGCTGCACACCTAGCGATCATATATAAGATGGTATATCCTCCTTAATCCTATTGCTTTCAGAACCATACTCATCACATATTCACTATAGCCTTCATCCTCCCCTCAGGGCACTCCAGAGCGCTCACAGAAGAAGCGAGATCGCGATCCAGACACCGACGAATCAGATAGCAAAAAACGCCGAAGGAAGGAAAGGAAGGAGAAGAAGAAGGAGAAGAAGAAGGAGAAGAAGGAGAAGAAGAAGGAGAAGAAGAAGGAGCAGAAGAAGAACGAGAAGTCCTCCCCTTCCTCGTCTCGCAAAGAGCAGAAAAGCCTCCAGCCTATCCCAGAAGAGATAGAAGAGACACCCCCGCCGCAGTCGTCGTCTTCCCGGAAGCATCCCCGAGTGGTTTCAAGCTCCCAACAGCACTCGTCACCGCCCCCTCAGCACTCGTCAACGTCTCCTCAGCATTCGTCACCGCCCACTCGGCACTCGAGACTCTTCCGAAAAGAGTGGGAATCAGTGCAATCTGAAGTCGAGTCCGACAGCGAAGGTTCCGCAGCAGGCACAGCAGCAGGCCCAGCAGGCCCAGCAACACACTCCGTAAAGCACTCAGCAGCACACACAGCAGCAGGCCTAGCAGGCCCAGCAACACATTCCGCAAAGCGACCAGCAGCAGGGACAGCAGCAGGCCCAGCAGCAGGCCCAAAACCCCAAAGAGGACGAGCACTTCAACGAGTCTCCAGCACTTCCCCAGAATTGGGCAGCTCGCCGCCACAACCGTCGGCCCCTGTCCGTAGAACCGTACTCCCAGTTCGTGCCCCTGCTCCAGAAGCAGTCGCCAGTGCTTCACAGAGCTCTCAATCCCGACGTCGCCGTCGGCTACCAATACCTAGTTCCCCTCCACCGGCAGAGCAGAGGCAAAGCCGCAGAGATCGTGCCCCAGAAACTCCCCCTTGTGCCCCAGAAACTCCCCCGCATGCTCAGGTAGCATACGCCAGTCCCCCAGAAGCATACCCCAGTGCTCCAGAAGCATCATCCCCAATCTCTCAAGCCCGATACACCGGCAAAATGACTCAGGCAAACACAGCAAAGATGGCTTTAGGTTTGATCAACCTCCCTAAATCGTACACTAACATCCGCAACAGCCTCAAACGGACATGCAGAACACCGGTTGGGTCAACAAAACCGTTTCCGGAGCAGCAGCGTTCAATGCTCTATGCCTCCATGTGTTGAACATACGCCCTCTCAGTGGTTTCCTGCCTATGTGGAACGGAGGCGATTCCGCAACCCGCAGAGCACTCGCGGACGCTTTGAAGTGGCTCATCGCTGATGTTGGGCAGAAAGAAAAGCTATCAAGGGGGCAGGGAAATCGCGAGTATAAAGAAGTTGCTGACGATAGCGATGATGATGAGGACGGTGGTCTGCCCACCCAACGCTCTAAGAAGCGTAAACGGGACCCAGTGTCTGCATCAGGAAACTGAACAATTTCCGAAAAGCATCTCCTGAGCCTCCAGAGAATCAAAAACTGTTTTGTTGTCTCAGGAGAATCTCAGGAGAGTCAGGAGACTGTTGGGAGGCTGCTTAAAATGTACAATCTTGCTGATGTGCAGATCTCGATAGACCTTCCATAATGATTACGGTGGTAGACCCGGATGCTCTAGGAGCATTCTCCAGGGTTGTCCCGCCCCCTATCTATGACTGGAACCATCGACGAAATCAGAATTCGTTCATTGGAGTTCTGACCAAGATAACGTTTCCAGAGCTCTGCAATTTGATCCTGAAGCACACCCCACCCGACAGGGCAATCAGGAGTATCTGGGGAGCACTCGATAACGTTCCACTGGCATCCAATCCTCCTGTTCAGCCGATGGAGGTGCAGATCACTGATTCGGAAGAGGTCGAGGGTTGTTTGAAGAATAGCTTTGGCAGGCCTCGGAGGATACTGGCGGTACTCCACAGAGCGGGGGCGGTTGCTAATTTGGGTGGTGCTGAAACACCGCCTCTGACACGAGCATTCCCTCATATCGAGGAAGACGATTACACCATGATCGATATTCCAGCAGAGGACTCTGATTACGAGGAGGGAAATCACCGCATAAATGGTAAAGGACTGAGGGTATATTTGCCCAGAACTGATGCCAGTAATCAAAGGCTAATCCAGACTCTTGTTAGACGTCGCGATAGACAGCAGGATGCTATCGACGACTTAGACCCCAAATACCTGAGGAAGTATCCTCTGGGTGTAGAGGTTGCTGACGCAAACTTTGCACAGGGAGTAATCTGGACGCCTGCCGGGATAGCAGCCAAGAGAGCTGCTGACGCACTCGCGGCTGCTGCTGGAGGCGGTGGTGGTGGTGGTGGTGGTGGTGGCAATCCTCCTCCGGGCGGTGGTGGTGGTGGTGGTGGTGGTGGTGGTAATCCTCCTCCGGGCGGGGGTGGTGGTGGTGGTGGTGGTGGTAATCCTCCTCTGGGCGGCGGTGGTGGTGGTGGTGGTGGTAATCCTCCTCCGGGTGGACCTCCTCCTCCTCCTCCTCCTCCTCCTCCTCCTCCTCCTCCTCCGGGCGGACCTCCGGGCGGTGGTGGTGGTGGTGGTGGTGGTGGACCTTCTGGAGGCGGTGGTGGTGGTGGTGGTGGTGGTGGTGGAGGTGGTGGGCCAGCTGGAGGCGGTGGAGGCGGTGGTGGTGGTGATGGTGGTGGGCATCATTAGTCTCCTTTGGTATAGTCTCTCACCACTCTTCCTGCGGATTTCTCACTACTAACCTTTGAAAAGCTGTACAGATTGCTCTCCGAGCACTCGCGACTGCTACTGAGATGGAGGAGGTGTGGTACGATTTTATGTTTTGGATTTCCTTTGTCTTGCGAGCATATATGAATTGATAGGTTTTTGAATAGCAGTATGGAGTGCTCTCTGAGCACTCGCCAGTGCTACTGAGATGGAGGTGCTGTACGATTTGATGTTTTGGATTTCCTTTGTCTTGCGAGCATATAACAATGGATATGTTTTGTCGTATTAGATGAGATTAGATGAGATTAGATTAGATTAGATTATTCCGTGTCGTAATTGCATTGCTTTTATTTCAGAGTCGAGTCAAACTCCTAGATTGCTCTCAGAGCACTCGGTATTGCTTCAGAAAGTGCAGTAAAACGAGTGATTACAAATGATGCGGTTGAGCGGATCCCTGCCGTAGGAGGATTAGCCGTGCAAATTCTTCTTGATTAGCGGCGCAAATTTTCTCGCCAAGAATTGATTTCTAATCAAAGATACCGCGAGTGCTCCTAGAGCACTGAGGATATTCCTGCTAGCCATCAGAATGGCTCCCACCAAGCGCTCCTCCGGTTCAGCACCTCTTGCCCCAAAGCGTCCACGACTCCCAAGACGACCTGAAGAACATGAAGATTTACTGACTGACGAGTCTGAGATACCTTACCGACCATTGACTACACTGCCAGCCCGCACTTGGAGTAGTCAATCGACCACCGCCGCCCAAATAGCTCGTAAAGGCCTTCTCCATTCTTCCGAAACTCCCACTGGAAGAAGCAGTCCTAGAAGGGTAGAATTTCATCTCCCCGGCGACTATACTGACCTTGTTGAAGCGCAGGAGCAGGCTCAAGCAATAGAGGTGCCAGAGGTGGAGGAAATAGTTGATACCAGCCACTCAGAGTATGATGATTCTCCAGAGAACGAGCCCGAGAGTTCTGAGGAGAATGAGGATGAACCGGAGGATGAACCTCAAGCCTCCACCCAGAGGTCTCAGACTGTCGGAAAGAGACCTCGCACAGCTCCGCCGACTACTGCCAAAGCACTGGGCAATGCTCGGAGGAAAGCAACTGGCGCAGTAGCGGAGGTAATTGCTTCCTCCGACGTGTCAGTGGACGTGATACAGGTTTGACTCTATTCTGCTCATTTCATTGGTTTTATTCAATAGACTCGGAGGCTAACGGTTCAGAGGGGAGCTCGACTGGGCACAAATGTAATCCAGAAACAAGGTCAGGGTAGAGCAGCACCCATTTCGGAACCCAGCGAGAATGTATTTCAGAGAGCACTCCCGGCATCCCGGAGAGCACTGCCGGCATCCCAGAGAGCACCCACTTCGGCACCCAGCCAGAATACATCTCAGAGAGCACTCCCGGCATCCCAGAGAGCACCGCCAATACCCACACAGTCTAGGCCTTCTGAACCTGTTTATTATCATGATTACAGCTCTTCGACGCGCCATATCGATTTTTCCTCAATACGCTCTCGATACGGGGAGTCCTCACCTACTCACCGGCCATATCGTTCTTCACCTCCTATTGACGGAATTGGCGAGAGCTCTGTGAGCAGTCCTCGGATTCCTTCAAGCCCTCAAATTCCTTCAGCCCAACCTCACAGCCAAATTCGATCGCAAGGAGTCTACGAAATCGACTATCTTCCCTCATCCAGGGAGAACGAGAATGCTCTGACGGCGGAAAGCGAGGTTCGTATTCCAGGGAGTACTCATGACGTCTTTGAGAACACTGGCGATATTCCTTCGAGCCAATTGACTCAGAGGTCTTTGTTACCGAACTCGAGGAGTGCAAATATACTCTCAATGCAAGCACAGAGGATTGAGAAAGAGTGCAGCATATTAATCGGGGAGCATACGCTTCTACATGAGCCGTTTCCACCTGCAGCAAGACTTTCAATACTGGTAGTGAGCATGTGGGCAACTGCAAGTCTCCGAGTGGGGTGTAGAGTAGACCTTGATGAGGTCGTAATTAAACAGGTGAGTGCCCCTGAAACGATTACGAGTGCTCTGGAAACATAATTGAGAACGATAGGTCAGAAGTCTGCACTCCCGTGTCCATTCCCACTTGATGCACGAGGTGAAAGGGTGCCTGGCAGACTCTACGATATACGGGCTTGGAAATCTTGTGGGGCCTGAGGCAAGGGCGGCTCAAGTCGAATATCTTTTGAAGAATGATCGTTTCTTGAGCCTCCAGCAGCATTACGAGGTATGATCAATGCCCAGAGAGCACCCGGAATGCCCACAGAGTACCCGGGAATGCTCCGAGAGCACTCGGGAAAGCTGCTAACAGATACTAGAGCTACCGACTACGATTCCTTGCCCCGGAAATCGTCGATATATTGTATTTTAAATACTTTGATGGCGTCAGGATGCGAGGGGTTAGGGACCCCGAATTCCTAGAGCGGATAACCCCTACACTCATTTGCTTGATATCGACGGCGATCTGGCACGGCATTCGGGCGTGGTCGACAGGGACTTACCTTAAGCCTGATCATTTTCAGTCGCAGAATGAGAGCGTTGTTAGTAAGTATTGCCCAATGCCCTCACTGGTATGACGGGTGCTTTGGGAGCAGTGACGGATGCTCTCAGAACTCTGCGGACTGCCGAGTGCTTTGGGAGCAGTGACGGATGCTCTCAGAGCTATACTGCCAGTGGGTTGCCGAGCTGACATCCCCACTCGAGTAGAAACGTTCAACCGGATGAGTAACACATGGAAGGGTAGGAGTAGACAGAATCAGGAGGCAACCTTGGAGGTAATCAAGGATAATCTTCGAGAAAAGGTATGCTACTACTATGGCGGCAATGGGTGTTCTACTCTAAATACTTACCTTGATAGATACGAGAAAAGAAGGGTGTAACGATTGAGGTGATACCGGAGGATGGGTTTAGCGAGGACGATGAAGCTTTGGCTGCGGATCTTGCCGCATTCCGAGATGCTCGGAGAGCACTCAGGGGTGCTCCAGGAGGTCCTTCAAGTTCTGAAAAGGGCCAGGACGAGGTGATTCATGCCCAACTTCGCGGCATTGACAGTGAAGAGGAGGTAGAGGAGGAAGAGGAGGAGCAAAAACTACCAGTAGTGGGGGAATGCGAAGGGGGCGGGGAGGAAGATGTCTAGAACACTCGCGAGTGCTTTGGGGGAATACTCGAAAGTGCTTTGGGAGAACAGTCGAAAGTTCTTTGGGAGAACACTCGCGAGTGCTTTGGGAGAACACTCGCGAGTACTTTGGGAGAACACTCGCGAGTGCTTTGGGAGAACACTCACGAGTGTTTTGGGAGAACACTCGCGAGTGCTTAGGGAGAATACTCGCAAATGCGTGGAGAGAACACTCCCGAGTGCATCGGGGATAGCTGGAGATTTGTTCCGATTCATATTTTGTATTATATCCAGTAAGGGAGTTCAAGGAGGTATTGTCGTTAGTATTTAGTAATAGACAGGGGATCACAGTCTTGAGTGCTCTGTAAACAGTCTCGAGTGCTCTGTAAACAGTAGAGATCGTAAGGGTATGCCTGGAGAGAACAGGGCATCGGGGGTGCGCCAGGTTCAAAGACCCGATCCCAGGCGCCGCTGGAGCAGTCGGAGTACTCCAAGAGCTGCGGGAGTGCTCCAGGAGCAGTCAGGAGTGCTCCAGGAGCAGTCAGAGTACTCCAGGAGCTTCGGGAGTGCTCCAGGAGCAGTCAGGGGATACGAGTGCCCAACTGGCGCTCTCAGGCGAGGGGACTAGGGTCGGGGTAGCACCGGGCGCTCCCGCTCAGTGCCCAGGCGGGGTCGGAGGGCTAGTGCGCGCCGGGGCGAACTAGGGTGCGCCGGGGCGGAAAGATGCGCGCTAGACTACGCAAGGAGCACTTGCCGTATCTCTGGAGAGGTAGTTTACCTACCGAGCACCCTGAGCGTCCTGAGTGCCTCGGGCGTCTGGCGAAGGCTGCAGGTTTGCTGATGTAGTACAAGCCCGTCCGAACCAATAGACCAACCCTCAACGGTTGATAGAGATGAATTAGACCGGAGCCATCGCCGATTGTCCAAGAGAGATCCCCGATTGTGCGAGAGATATCTCGGAGTGTTCAAGAGATATCCTCGAGCTCGAGCGCATTTAAGATGACTCAAGTAACCAAAGCGAAGATGATTTTAGGTCTACTCAACCTACCTAAAGTGTACACCAGCATCCGCAACGGCCTAAAGGCGGAAATGCAAAGTGTAGGTTGTGTAACGGGGGACTCTTCTAGGAGAAATAGAATGAAGTAGAATAGAGACGGCCGTGCAAGATAGACAATCAGGTTGCAGATTATTCAAAGATACTATCGTTAGAACTCAATAATCTTTAAGGGCTCTGCTACCGATAAGAACTTGATATTTCTTTCTGATTGATGACTGGCGAGAACAGGACTGAAGGGCGAGAATGAACCTGAGTACTTATACTCCGAAGGCGTCTATTCTCTGCTCCTAACTCCTTACTAAGTACCGGTGAAGCCTTTCCTCGGTCCGGAAACAATACCACCGCTACCCCGCTTTTCTCTAAGCGTCAGCAGGTGTTTCCGATACCCAAGGCAACCACCCTTAGTCAAAGCCTTTGTAACACCTGCAGCCTTGGTTGCCACACAACCGGGGCCTGCATGAATGAGCTGCCGCTCAGATGTAAGCTTAATCATTGCTGTAGAGCTTTCACTTATTGTAGACTTCCCTAGCATGGTCCCTGCCCTTCGGCGGACTTACAGTGCTCGGAGGATACAGAGGATCACCGGGCAATCAGAGCTTCACTCTGGCCAGTCTTCTAGTCACAAGCGAGACATACACTCATCAGTCCCTGCAACCATGAATAGACTCCCTTCCTAGTGCCTAGAATGTAGTTACTCTAACAGCTGGTAGCTAACCACACTGCCGGTACTTGCATTTCAGCGTGCAACTGGCTTCTAACAATAATTCTCAGCATGTAACCGGGCCCTGTGTGTACTCATACACCAGACAGTTGAAATGGCTCCGTTACAGGTTGGGTCAATGAAAACACCTCCGGATTGGCTGCGTTTAATGCCCTATGCCTTTACTTAATGAATTCACCCTCCCTCAATGTGTTTCTGCCAATTTGGACTGGGGGTGACTCCGATGCCCGTAGAGGACTGGCGAGTGCTCTACAGTGGCTCATCGTGGATGTTGGTATGAAGGATAATTTATCAAGGGGACAGGAAGACTATCAGTTCAAAGAGTCTGCCAGTGATAGTGATGATGATGATGACGGCGGTGGTCAGGCAGCCGGAAGACGCTCTCACAAAAGGAAAGAGCATGCACTACCCCTAAAACTCGTGCGACCTTCCATAATGGTTACCGTGCTGGACCCTGATGCTCTAGGGGCATTCTTTATCCTCGTCCCACCACCCACTTATGACTGGAATGATCCCCTGAACGAACCTTTATTCATCAGAATTTTGACCAAGATAACTTTCTCTGAGTTATGCAACTTGATCCTGAAGCACACCGCATCCAGCAGAGTAGTCAGGACTATCTGGAGAGCAATTGAAAATATCCCCCTGGCAGCTGTTCCTTCCATTCGCCCGGTGGAGGTACAAATTACGGATTCAGAGGAGCTCGAAGATTGATTGCAGAACAGCAATACCAGGCCTCAGAGGATATTGGTGGTCCTCCACTAAGCAGGCGTGGGTGCTAATCTGAGTGGTCCAGAATCCCCGCCGTTGAACCCGGCTTTCCGTCACGTTGAGGAAGATGATTATAACATGATCGATATTCCTGTAGAGGATTCAGATTACGAGAAGGGAAAGCACCAGATAAATGCCAAAGGACTGAGGGTATATATGCCTAGAACTGATGCTAGTAAGCAATGGCTAATTCAGACTCTTGTTAGGCATCGCGATAGACAGCAAGATGCTATCAACGATTTTGACTCTAAATACGTTAGGAAGTATCCTTTGGGTGTCGGGCTTGCTGACCCAAAATTCTTACAGGGGACGATCTGGATACCTGCCGGGATAGCAGTCAAGAGAGCTGCTGACGCAATCACGGCTGCTGGTGCTGGAGGTAGTGCAGGACTAGCTGCAGGGGGTGGTGGTGATGGAAGTGGTAGGCCAGCTGGAGGCGGTGACGATGGGGGTGGTGGTGATAGTGATGGGCATCATTAGTTCCCTTTAGTATAATCTCTAACTTCCCTTCCTGCTAAATTGTCACTAACCTTTTAATAGTTGTTAGGATTACTCTCTCAGCACTCGCGATAGCTGCTGAGGTGCGGTACGATTTTGTGTTTTGGATTTCCCTTTGTATATCAATGGATGAATTATATCGGATAAGATTAGATTAGATTATATTATATTAGTCCAGGTAGTAATTGCAGTGCTTTTATTTCAAAGTCGAATCAAACTCCTATATTACTCTTAGAGCACTTGGTAGTACTGCTTCAGAAAATGCAGTGAAACGAGTGATGATAAGAAATGCAGTTGAGTGCGGAAATAACGGTAACACCGGATGATCCCTGCTGTATGAAGATTAGCAGTGCAAAATTTCTCGCGAAGAATTGATTTCTAATTGAAGACATTGCGAGTGCTTCTAGAGCACTGTGGATATTTCTACCAGTCATCAGAATGTCTCCCACCAAGTGTTCCTCCGGTACAGCACCTCCTACACCAAAGCGCCTACGACTCTCAACACGACCTAAAGAAGATGGAGAGACTGATGAGTCTGAAATATCTTACCGACCATTGACTCCACTGCCAGCCCACACTTGGAGCAGTCAATCGACCAACTCCGCTCAAATAACTGGGAAAGGTATTCTCCATTCTTCCGAAATACCCGTTGGGGGGAATAGTCTTCAGAGAGTAGAATTTCATCTCCCCGAAGATCATACTGACTGTAACGGTGTAGTGCGAGTAAGGAAGAAGTTCAGGAAGGATAGTGATTAGTAATCGGGATCTTGTTTGTTTTATCTCTTTTCGGATTTCGGTAGTATTTGGGTTTTCTTTCTATGGGTTTCCATTATGCGAATTAGTTATCGGGTTCTGAAGGATATATATATGGCTGTGACTTCTCTTCGTCCTTTCTTTCTTTTCTCCTTATCCGAACTTCCTGTTATATAGGAATATATTCTATTTTCTGTCTTCGAACCTCTAGGTATCCAAGTCATATAACCTCTTGGTTGTACCCCTTAGTCCCAGTTCTAGTCTCGCTCTCGCTTCGCCTAATGTGAAGCGTTTGATCCCATTCTCATTCGTTTCCTTCGATATTCTATCGTTAGGAAACTTCGTCTCATATCTATCGGCATCAAGCCCGATAACCCCGAACCCTGACCCTGACCCCGCACGAGGTGAAGAGTTGTCACCCATATAACCCTGACTCAGCTTCTACCGTTCTCTTACCGAGAACTCCCGAATCTCGTCCTAGTTTCCCCCAGTCGGTTTGTAACATCCTAGTTTTCCTGATATCACAGCCTGACCGCCTCCACCTACCCTGACGTCGAGAACGCTACGGAATCGAGTTATTAGGTGAAGGATCAGGACGGCTTCAGTTAGATTGGATATGTTAGGAAGGTGCTCGGAGGTTATAGTAAGCGCTAGGCACTTCAGGTTAGGTTGCGGAAAGAAGGATCGGGATCGGTTGTGGGATGTTATTATATTTGTTTGTTATTTCCTTAGGTGTGGCTACGAGTGTTAGCTATCGGGTTATTCTTTGGGGTTTATATTCGAGCCTTTGTTCTCACTATCTGTACTTTTCTTTCTTTCTTCTTTACGCAACGTCTTCATTCTGTATGTTAGTATATTCTATTCTGTTTCGATCGGTACTTAGCCCGGTCCCCGGTCCTTGTCCTAGAGCGTATCTCGAGTCGATTCTCACCTCGGTACCTGCCTATGTCTTTGTCCTAGAACCTGAACTGGTTAGACCCGAGTCGGCTCGTAACACTGACAATTTTAAAGCGCAGGAGAAGCTTGAGGCAATTGAGGCGCCTGAGTTGGTAGAAATAGTTGATACTATGCACTCAGGCTATGATGATGCTCCGGAGAACGACCACGAGAGCTCTGAAGAGGATGAGGATGAACAAGAAGATGAACCTCAAGTCCTCCCCCCATCCTCCACCCAGAGGTCTCAGACTGTCGGAAAGAGACCTCATACAGTTCAACCAACCA